GAAACCAAGTTTTGGCCTTATAATTTGAAGTATGGTTGCTCGATTTGTCGTTATGGTTGCTCAGTTGGAACTGGGATATATCTAAAAACACAACTTAAATTGCAATACACATACTCTGTTAAATAAATTGAAGTATTATTATCTTGATAAAAGCAGGAATTCGATTTTGATACCTTGTTTTTTTTGTATCAATTTTGACACTGTATTTTTCAATTTGTTACAATTTTGACCACTTGACCGGTTAACCAGGTTACATGCTGACGTGGGATGATCATGTGTCAGTTTTGATGACGTGGCATGCTGATATGATATTCTGGTGTGTCAAAATTGATTTTTTTTTTCACAAAAAACACTAAGTTTTCATTTTTTTTCGATTTTAACACTAAGTTAAACTTTTTATTTCAGTTTTGACACTATGTTTTTTTTGTTCAAATCGAACATCATTTATCAAATTTTGTTCAATTTTGTCTATTTTCCATTTGAAACTGTATACATATATTTTTTTATTACATTTTAAACCGTATAAACATATTTTTTTTGTTTAAAAACCACATTTTTATTTAAATACATGTGTTTTTTTTTCTTACATTCAAAGCATTATTTATATCATGAGAATCAAACTAAACATAAGCTTCTAATAAGATGTAAAAATTTGATGGGTTGTAAACTTGATATCTGAGTTTTGATCAACTAAATGCCTCCAAACCTACAAACACATTTTAATGTTGCATATTTAATATAAAATATAATTTTTATATAACGAATACAGATTTATACATAAAAATATGGTTTGAGTGTAAAAAAAATGTATTTATACAAAACTATGGTTTTTAAATGAAAAAAAAAAAACATATTTATACGGTTTAAATGTTCAAAAAAATATTTATACGGTTTCAAATAGAAAATTGTCAACATTGAATAAAATTGGAAAAAATGATGTTCGATTTCGAACAAAAAAACCTAGTGTCAAAGTTGAAAGAAAAAATTAAACTTAGTATCAAAATCGAAAAAAAAAATGAAAACTTAGTGTTTTTTGTGAGAAAAAAACTCAATTTTGACACGTAAGCATATCATGTCAGAATGTCACGTTATCAAAACTAACACGTCATCATGCCACGTCAGCATACAACCTGGTTAACCGGTCAAGTGGTCAGAATTTTAACAAATTGAAAAATACAGTGTAGAAATTGACAAAGAAAAAAAAAAAACACGATGTCAAAATCGAATTTCTGTATAAAAAAAATGTTTTTTGTACCATTTACCCAAATGTTAATAGGTATTTCAAAGCGATCTTTTAGTGAGCACATATAGGCCTCACATTGTAGCATTGTTTAAAAGTTTAAAAAAAATACGATCTCTTAAATAACAAATTTAACCACATTTGAGGTTTAGTTTGAACCTTGATTTCAGCCTATGTTAGCAATTAAATATCATGCTTGTTTGTAAACATAATCACACAAAGGAAAATAAACATTTAAATTCCGTCATACTAAGAACGATTCAAAATTCTAAGCCTATTATACAAAAAAAAAAAGTTATAATAAAATTTGTAAGAATTTCATAAGCTTTAAGAAGGACAAAACTTCATAAATGGTTCCTATGTTTTTTTAAAATATGAGATATAGTTCAATTTAAAAAAACTTTACAGATGATCCTTATGGTTTCAAAACTTTTAACAAATAGTACCACATAAAAAGATTTTTATTCATTTTTTTCTTTTTATATTTTCTAACTACTTTTACATTTAAAACAAATAAATATATTAAAAATAAATAAATAAAAATACTTACCGTAGCCTCCCCATCTTACCTTATCCTACCATTACCTTTCCCTTTCATTTTCCAGTTGATGTCCCCTATTATCATCACTACCACTTTCCACCACCATTTCCATCCTCAACTCCCACCTATCGGACCACTACATACCAATGTTACAATTACAAAACATTGACATCACCATCTTCTAGACCTTTACTTGCTACCAACCAAGACAATCACACCACCACTTGTTCACCAAGATCCACCTTTACCACCCTACCATTTTCCTCACATTTTTTTGCTTTCAATCAGTGTCTACTGCCACTATCCATTACCAATTTCAAGAAAAAAAAAGTCAAACTCCATCATTCATTTTCACACACCTGCACGATTGATGAACATGATGATCTTGAAACCCAAATCCAAAAACAACTAAGAAAATCAAATATAATCTTGAAACCCTTCCAAGTAGTAACTATCTCCACTACTGTCATGATCTTCCTCACAAACGAAGGATGGTTTTGAATCAACAAGATTAATAATTCAAGAAACCATTTCAGATTTTAGCATCAATAAAAAACATTTCAGATTCCATAAGGAGTATAATCAACACTGATTTCATGAGAAACTAAAATAATTTCATGTAACTATAATTGAATTCAGTAAAATAGCAATGATTTCAAGAAAATAGAATCAAACTTGTCATCTTATGGTGCATTAGTGGTTCAGGGGAGACATACATGTGGTTTGTCGGCGGTTAGGGGAAGAACAAATAGCGGCAATCGTCTGATGCATCAACTTAACAGTGATGTTAGTCATCAGATGGTTCGAATAGTAAGAAGTGATGACAATTTCTCTACCTTTGAATTCGTTTACGAGATCATAAAATTAGGAGAACATAAGTTTTCTAATTGAAGCAATGACAAGACGGGTGTTGTCCATCGAATTTGGAAGAATCATTGAGCAAAACAAGGGCAGTCGATGGTGGTTGAGAGGTCTCTGACGGCTGCTTGGGGGGGGGGAGGGGGAACTATTAATTTATTAATTTATTTTTTTTAAAATGGTATTAATTATAGAAAAAATATAAACTAAATTAAAAAGAGTATAAAATCCTTTTTTATGTGGATGAGAGACTATTTGTTAAAAGTGTTGAAATCGCAGGATTATCCAAGAGGTTTTTTGAACTTAAGCACTAAACTTCATATTTCGGGATACCACATAGACCATTTATAAAGTTTTGTCCTTTAAGAAACAAAATTAGATTTAGTTTCCATGTAAAACCACATCTATCTTGTTATGTACTTTAATAAAATAGGGTATTTGAGATTTTATTTTGAATCTTCAATTTTTTTTAGACAAAATGACTTATTGAATTATGGTGGTGAGAAAAATAAGGTTTTTTTTTTTTTTTTTTTTTTTTTTTTTTTAGTGTTTAGATTAATTTTTATGGTGAGGAAAGTCATTAACTTCTTTTCTAAAAAGTGTTTGATTTGGCTTATATATATATATATATATATATATATATATATATATATATATATATAGATATATAGATATATATATATATATATATATATATATATATATATATATATATATATATATATATATATATATATTAGGGGTGAGCAAACCCAAACCAAAAAACCGAGAAACCGAAACCAAAAAAACCGAAACCGAAACAAAACCGACGGTTTGGGTTTGATATTTTTAGAAACCGAAAAATCGGGTTCGGGTTCGGTTTCTAACCAGAAACCGACCCATCCAACCCAAGAAACCGACTCATACTTAAAACCGACAAACCGCCCCAAGAAACCGACCCATCCAACCCGAGAAACCACCCATACTTGATTGTGTTTTAGTTGTAATAGACTATTTCGGGCTTTAGTTGTAACTTGTAATTAACTATTTGTGTAAGACTCATGTTTTTTGAAGTACATAACTTAAATTTGTTATTTTTTGAAGTATCTAACTTGTTGCTTCATTTATGGAAAATGGGTTAAAACCTTAAACCCATGGGTTTAAACCCAGAACCCGTGAGTGTATGGGTTGAACCCAAGAAACCGAAAAACCGCCCAAACCGACCTCAGAACCCAAGAAACCGAACCGACCAAAAACCGATCATATTGGGTTCTAAAAACTAGAAACCGACCATTTATGGGTTGGGTTGGATTTGAGTCCAAAACCGACCCAAACCGACCCATGCACACCCCTAATATATATATATATATATATATATATATATATATATATATATATATATAATACAATTCTGAAAAGTTATAGAGTTGAAAAGTTAGAAATTCAAACTTATCGAAATCATATTTTTGAAGATTTGATGATAATTATTTTAAAAGTCATTTTCATATTATTAAATATTTTTATTGACTTATTGATTTTTCAAGAAAATAATAACTCAATAAATTGTTTATAAATGAAATGTCGTATAAAAAGCATTGAGCAAAGCTTAAGGTTACTTTACAACTTGTAGATTTTTATTTTTATTTTTTAAGGTTAGAATTCAAATGAGTTAGTTTACAGCTTATAGATTATGAAATTTAGGGTACCTGCAATAGCAATATGGAGCATAAGTTCGACATAAACAAAGTTAATTAAATGTTTATTGTGGGTGTATATTTCTTATGATGTTACAAGAATAATTAACAAATGGTTTTACATGGAGATAAAATAGCTTAATTTGAGGTAAAATGATTAATTTCTAACTACTAAATCATCAAACATAAAAAGTAAAAACATGTTATTTATTTTTAGTTGTCAATTTGTATATTTGTTTATGTTATTTTAATTTATCAATCGTATATGGATTTTAACCTAGTTAAAAACATTTAAAAAATAAATTAAAAAGGTTTAATAGTTTTTTTAATATATATATTTAACATGGATTATATCTTCAAAATAGTTCAGAATTTGGATTATTTGTAGAAGTTGTAAAAAAATTAAGACCCTATTAATATTAACACGGTTTATTTATTTATTTATTAACTTTTTTTTTTACAATTTACAAATAACAATTCTGAAAAAAAAAAAAAAACTTATCGAAACGTATTTTATCTACAACTTACACTAAAGAAATCTGAATTTAATGCCACCTTTCGCTGGGTTCATGGGTTCCAATAAAAATGTCACGTCTGCTTTTTATTATGAAAGAAAAATGAAGCCCCACTATTTGTTTCTATACAAATCAATAATTAAAAAAAAAAAAGTAAAATAATAGTGAGGAAGAGAAGGTTCGCTATAAGTAGTGTGGAAGGTTCGGATAAGTAGTATCTAGAACCTTCGTCTTCCTTCTTGCCCTGAAATTTGCACATTTCGTCTGCATTTTTGCCCAAATTCAACTCTTGTTTTTACAAAAAAACCCATAAATTTAGTAAACCAGAACTTTCTTAAAGGGGATAGCTCAGCGCCAACCATGATTCTGGCAGTTATCAACAACTTTCCTCAAATGTCAGTTTGTCCTTTAGATTCCATTTATGTTATCTGTTTTTAACTGAAATTTTGCTCAAAAGCCCTAATCTACTCTAGATTTGGTCTTTGTGTATACCAATCTGTTTGATCTTTCATCACAGCGAGTTTTATTTTATTTTATATATTCTCGGGTTTGCTGCAAAGTTTGATGAACCCATCTGAGTTTTCAAAAGTGAAAATTCGTGAGATTTGTGATTATCTTGTTGTAATTTGTTTGGTCTAATTATCGTCGTGCAAACTTTAATCTTATATTTCCTAGGTTTTGATGCTAATTTTGATGAACCCATCTGAGATTTGTGATTGACCTTGTTCTGATTTATTGGGTTTCGTCGTCGTAGTCGTAGTACAAGATTCTATCATCTATTTCCTGAGTTTTGCTGCAAATTTCAATAAACCCATCTGGGTTTTCATACGAAAGATTCTGGATTCGTGATTCGTTTGGGTTTATTATCTTGGTAAATTAAAACCCAGACTTGTGATTTAGAAGGGATCGATTATGAATCCTTTCTTCTCGGTCGTTAAGGAGGAGTATCCATCAAGTGGTGGTGGTAGCGACGGCGTAAGGCGGCCAACGGCGATTCAAGCACCACTCCCACAGCCAATGGAGGGTCTTCATGATGCTGGGCCCCCACCTTTCTTGACGAAAATCTATGATATGGTCGACGACCGAAGTATTGACCACATTGTTTGTTGGAGCAGAGGTGGTCAAAGCTTCACTGTATTGGATCCACATGCTTTCGCTACTAATCTCCTCCCTCGATACTTTAAACACAACAATTTCTCTAGTTTTGTCAGGCAACTCAATACTTATGTAAGTCTTTCTCTCTAACTAATTTAATCTAATTTTTTTTTTTTTTTGAATGGCAATTAAATTTAAAAATAATCAAAGTTTCATTTATGCAAAGCTAGAAGAAGATGTGATTGATTATGGCAAAAGATGGGGCTACGAAATGATGAATGAAGAATACCGGAAATTAGTGTAGATGTTTTTAGTTAGTATATATATGTTTTATTCGGAAATTGTTGGCTATAGAGCTTTCGGTTTCTGAACGCAGGGTTTTAGAAAGATAGATCCTGATGTGTGGGAGTTTGCGAATGAAGCGTTCGTGAGGGGTCAAAGACACGTTTTGAAGAACATCAAGAGAAGACGCGCGCCTTCTTCTTCTTCTTCATCATCATCTTCAGCTACTTCTCAGGGTTGTCCTGAAACATTCGGATTGGATGAAGTTGGGCGTCTGAAACACGAAAAGCAAGTTCTGATGATGGAATTAGTAAACCTCCGACAACAGCAACAGAACACTAGGGCTCAACTTCAAGCCATGGAAGTCAGGATCCGTGGGACAGAGAAAAAACAGCAGAAGGTGATGAGTTTCTTGGCGAAAGCTATGCAAAATCCTGAATTTGTCAGAAAGTTAGTCCAACATGGTAGAAGACAGGACCTTCGAGACGCCATTAGAGGGTTTGATGCTGTTCAAAGTGGCGAATCCAGTCGAACCAGAAACAAGCTTATTAAAGATGAACCAGAGGAGGAGGAGTTTTCTCAGGTGTCTGAGCTTGAGGCGCTTGCTTTAGAGATTCAAGGATTTGGTAGAGCCAAAAGAAACCAAGAGGAAGAAGAAGAAGAAGAGGAAGAAGCTAATGAGATGTGTGAAGGCAACGAGAACGATAACGAGAAAGAACTTGATGATGAATTCTGGGAAGAGTTGTTTAGTGAAAGATCAGGTGTTGAAGATGTGAATTTCTTGGCTGATAAGTTGGATTTCTTGGGTTCGAACCCCAAGTAGGAAGCTTAGCTAGCTAACCCTTTCTTCTTCTTCCATTGTTATTTCTTGATCTTTGTAGTTAGGTACTGATGATGGTGACTGAAGATGAATGATATTTCACAGATTTTAACAAAGCTCCTGCTATCGGTTCGTTGTTTGTTTCTATCTGTCTTATGTACAAATTACAAATTACAAATTACAAAGCCAATCATCATCATCATCTTAATTCTGGTTTTCTCTTGTCATTTTACAGGGGATTCCATTCCTTTCCATTACCATTGCCAACACACACTATCATGTTCTTGTTTTATGCGTTGTTGTTTAAGTTTTGTAGATTTGATACTCTTATGTTACTACTACTCTTTCTTGGTTATCAGATTGGAAGCATTTTCTGCTGACTGAAATGAAGTTGCTTGTTCTCAAAGGTTATGATTGTTAATGCATTATTGAAACTTGAATTGAATGTGTGTGGATTATTAATTACTGAGAGTAGCGTGTAATATTGTTAATTCCATGGTGAATCTTTATCTTTGTGGCTTATAAGTTATAATAATATGTTGTAGATTGATCTGAAGATATTGAACCGGTCCGACCGGAGCAGCTATTGATCGATGGCTATTTGAGCTGTTTCTTTCATCATAAGAAAACCCACTAAATGGGTTTTACTTGCAAGGGTTGATATGTTAATTAAATATAAATATATTTCGATATATTATATAATATGTTGTATTATTCACCTGTAATTTAACGATGGGAGTGTGGTTTTTACTTGTGTACTTGAGATAGTGGAGCCTCTACTAATTATTCAAATATTTGTTATCTGATGGGTTTTGTATGTAGCCTTTAGGAAAGCGAAAGCGTGGAAGTTCCCTTGCCACGATTTTTTGATTGCTTGTGGTTGCTTTGGGTTGCGTTTTTATTTGTGGGTCTTTTATTATTATAATACTAGGTGAATGCCACGCGTTGCGTAGGAACATTTATAGTTGAAATAGTTGAAGTTTTTACAAATCTATTAACTGTTTTAGTTATCATCATACAACAAATGAGAATACAAACGGGCAACAAGCTTTGCCGTTAACATGGTTGTGCATGATCCGTTGTAGTCTACTAAGAAGCTCCACCGCATCTGGTACAAGAAAACCAAACGTATCAAATGCAAATGGTATGAACGCGTGTTGATTTTTCATGCACGGTTTCTCATGTTTGGTGATCTTGCAAGTAGCAGCTTTTAATACAGCATGTTCCACTGTGAAACCCCTGACCCTCAAACTTATGAGAGGAGATACCCCTGTAAGGTGCATACATACGTGTTTCCCTTCAACCCATCCAAAAATCAAAACGTCAGCCGGTCTAAGGGTTGACATTCCTCATATCGGGTCAGTCAGGAAATTCACAGAAGGTTCTTTCTTGACGGAAACCCCGACACACTTACATGTGTCGACCAAAACATTCCTAACCATATCGTGTCTATATTTGAACCTAGAAGTTCTTTGCAATGAATTGCATGCTCGCCGAAAGAGTCCAAACATGCCTTGCGGCACACCGGATATATCACATCGGCTGAGAATATTGAAAAAATAAAGATGGAGATGCGGGGTACCGATATAATAATTTATATAAAGTTATTTTTAACTATTATTATTGTAAGTTATTTTAAGCTAATTATTTGAAAACTTTTAACGATTATAAAAATATCTTTAGGAAATATTTTAGTTAAATTGAGATTTTAATTTTGTTTTTGCATTTATCACTACAATTTATCACTTTTAATTATTTACAAAATATTCTTTAATTTTTTAAGTAGTAATGAAAATTATATTTAAGTTAACACTATAATTTAAATTAACAATTTAAGTATTTTGTCCAAATTGCTCAAAAGTTATTACTTTAAATTGATAATGGTTTACATACAACACATTTTAAATCGAACAAATTAAGTATAACATGTTAAAATTAAAAGACATAACTTTATAAGTAGAAGTAAATATATTATTTTAAAATTGAAATTTAGTTTATTTATGATTACACTTTAGGTTTAATATTTATTTAACCTTATTAACCAACTTATAATCATTATTAGAAAGACACTATAATTTATCACTTTTAGCTATTTACAAGATATTTTTTGGGTTGTTTAAGTTAAACTAAAATTTATGTTTATGTTGACTCTATAATGTTATACTTAAATTAATCATTTAAGTATTTTATACAAATTTTTCCAAAATTGTATATTTAAAATGATAACGGTTTACATCCAAAAATATATTAAAACTAGTAAATTAAGTATAATATGTTAAAAGTGAACAAACATAACTTTATAAGTAGAAGTAAATATATTATTTTAATATTTAAATTTAGTTTATATATAATTACACTTTAGGTTTGATATTTATTTAACCTTATTAAACAACTTATAATTATCATTAGAAATAAATTGAAAAGTCACGGGAGTTTCAAATGAATGTGGTGAAAGGAAAAAGATATGAGAGTTTCAAATGAATGTGGTGAAAGGAAAAATGATTCCTTGATAGTATATAAAGATAAAATCTCCCCCTTTATCCTTATTCTCAACCAAATTCTCAACATTCTCAGTGAACCATGTCCATATATCCTTATTCTCAACATTCACAACTGCCCATGCTATTGTGTAGACATGGTTGTCTATATCCCTCTCAATAGCAGTTAAAATCTCCCCCCTTTACATGCCCTTTCAAGAAACTACCATCTAGTCCTATTACCCTTTTACATCCTCTATTCCATCCATCTCTGAAAGCCTTAAAGCCAACATAAAACCTCTTGAATAAGTTACACCCCATATTACTTTCTACCCCTACCAAGCAAGTTGTACCTAGATTACTCAACCTAATTACACCTACATAGTCCTAAACCCTGGCATAGTGGTCTTCTAAATTCCCTTCTATCATCCCATTGTAGTAGCCCTTGCTCTTTAGCATTGCCCAACATATACACTCACTGAAAACATTTATAGCACATCTGCTTGTATCTCTAGCAATGTCATATTGGGCTTCATGATTTCATCTTTCAGGTATTGTTTAGCTAACCAATTTCTAGTAACTAGGGAACCAAAGTGATAGTTCCTAGCACACAGATGAATTTCATTACAAAGTTTAATTTGGAATGTCCTTTCATTGTACTTCCATCTAGATGCAACCTAAATGGACACTGTATTTTTAATTATCATTGCTTCCACTACCACACTTAGCTATAACCCTCACTCTATCGCGCTTTTCAAAATAAATTTGGTATCCTCCATGGAATGCATAGTTAGTTAAAGCAAACCTGAGTTGAGCAGGGGATTCAAAATAGTCTCCTAATTGGGGCCTCATCTCTTTCCAGTCAACATTGGAATCGTGCACCCTATACTCTACACCAACATTTTCATCGTCCTCATCTTTTTGGATTAGTGTCTAAGCCCATAACTATATTTGGTAAGTACTTGACCCGGTTGTGCATGGTCCTTTTGGGTTGCCTTCACCAAAGCAACTTGATATGATGATTTATGAAGAGAGATGTTATTATGGTTTATTAATATATTATATGAACAATATAATAAAGAGAAATCATATAGTTTAATTAACATTAGACAAGAATTAATTAAGAAATTAATTTTGTGGCTAAAAGACATTAATTAAATAAAGGGGACTAGAGTTGTCAATTATGTGATAGTTGAATATTGGGCTAATGGACTCCATAGAAGTTGGAGTGGACGAAATCTATGGGGAAACCCATTAGAATTCGTCCAAGGCTTCTAAGGAGGGAGTCCATGGGCTGCTTGGAGCTTAAGCAGTCAAATTAGGGTTTCCTTGTTTGATAACCCTAATAGCCTAACTATATAAGGACACCTAAGGCTTAGAAAATCGGTCACTTGAACCTTTGGAACCCTAGAGCCGATTTTTGCCTTTCATCCTCTCTCCTCTACATCATTCTCTTGCTCTTGGTGTTTGTGAACCATTAGAGGTGTGACACTTGTGACACTAAGCTTCTTGAAGATCAAAGAACTCTTGTAACCATTGAAAGGTACTATCTAAATTAGTTTAATATAGATTTTGATTTCTATGTATGGTAGATCTAGGGTTTATGAGCTTTGGATGATTATTGCAAGTTCATTACACAAACTAGATCCAAAAGCTTTAGGGTTTGCATGTACACCATAGGATTGATGTAGTACTCAAAACCCATCACATCTAAGTGGGCATGCTCATTTTGTTGGCCACCAGGAATGTCTCCATCATCTACCATTCCATCAATACTCCTCCTTAATATGTTTTCGTCACACAATAAGTTAATAAAAGGATCATCATATAGTTTTGAAGGGGCTTCGAAAGTTTCTTTAGAAAAATCCAAGAATTTAAAGTCAAATGCTTCATCATCGGAGTCAGAGTCTAGAAGGTATGTCTTCTCAAGGAGCTTAGGCCCTTTAGGGTTCATAAATTCCAAAAGTACAAGTCATATGTTTCATAAAAAATAACTTGTTAGTTCAAACTTGGAACTCCATACTCCATAGACGAAGATAACCACCCTCAGAAGTATCAATTTCTTGTTTCCATACATGTACCTTTCTACTCCACCTTACTTCACCAACGATTTCAGAGCTTCAAAATGCAAAATTGGGGAATGTGAAACCCTTCTTAGCATAAAGCCTTGTCGAATGCATGAAACCCTTTATCAGTGATGGTTCGTGAAAGGTGATAGCTAGGGAATAGGTAAGTGGTGATTGGATAGAACAGGTTACCTGCTCATCACTGGGTATTAGCTCTCAAGTTATAATTCCATGAAAATATCGTGAAAACAGTCAACCAAAAATTAAAATAAGGGTTTCTCCAATTTGGTGGCAAAAATATAGGACTGTTATAATATTAGTCCTTGTTTAAAAATCGGCCGTTTCCTATTATATTGTTGGAGTTTGTGGCTATTGGAGTGAATATTGCAAACAAGTTCAAGCACATGCAAAATGAAAATTTTATTCAATTTTGTTTACCATATTATTGTTATGTTTTTTGTTATTTTGTTATTTCAGTACTCTCTTCGTCTCATATTTATAGTCTATGTTTCCTTTTTGAGTTGTCCCAAAATAATAGTCTACCTTTTAAAATAAATTTATCATTTATACCAAAACACCTCTCATTATTATTTAACCAACCAAAACATTTAATGATAGAATTAAATGCAAGAAAAATCTAACTTTTTTCCCCTTTTTTCCGTCCGTGTGTTTTCTAAACGTGAGATCCTCCATACAAACCAAGGAAATTAAAATTGAGATCGCATATAAGGTATATGTCAGTATAATTAGGCCAATATCTTATGTATGCACCACATGTTTTCTTTCTAAAAAGACCCTTAATACTTTCAAAAAGTTACATTGTTATAACAATTATTTGTTGTTGGTTTTACAATTTTTTTGTTATAAAAGAATTATCAAATATACAAAAAAAAATAATCCATTTGTTTTTTGTTTTATTTTTATGGCTTGTTTTTATCCAAAAAAAAAAAAGATTAAACATATCTAAATTTATAATGTTTTGCTCTTTATAAACATACATTCATATCTAGATTGAAGCAAAACTTCGAACTTATTTGTAGTGAAAGAATATATGAAAATTTACATGTGAAATTTGGCTTATTAAGTGTAACTTTTGAACTACAAGTGAATCCATTAAATATTGAATGTTTAGAAGAATAAGAGAGTGCTTTAAAAAAAATCAAGGATGCGTAATGAAAAGCATTGATCCTACTTGTATCAGGAAAAACTTCAAATATTTATCGACCAAAAGGGTTTGAAACATGTTTTTATCCAAAATATTTTAAGTGTTAAACAAGTGCTA